GCTGAACAGAGAAGGTTTTGTTCGGAAAGCTCCTATTGCGATTCTTTCGATACTGTCGCCCATTGTTCCATACCCGCGTAACCTGACCAACTCGCTGAAGCATCTTGGTCCTCACCTAGCCACGTCGTTCTCCAATGCTTGGCACTTCACCAATGCTCAAGCTCAAGTTGCGTCCATTCGACAACGCCGCATGACAGCCGGCACTTCAGGGGGTATCAGCCTGCCATCAGATTCGGATAGTCTCGATGATTTGCTTCACCTTGACCTTGAGGATATCACCAACTCAGCAGCAGGTAGTGTTACTAGCCCTTCCGACTACTCTGGCCGATCCAAGCACAGCCCTGGTGGCTCCATCGCTGGAACTCCAGGCTGGGATACTTCTTCGGTCGGATTTTCGAGTAAACATTCGATGGGCGGCACGCCTGGCCATCTTGCAGGCAGTGAAGCGGTCGAGAGCTACTTTGATGCTAGGAAACAATACGGCAAGACATTGAACCCGCCGACGTCAAATCCGCACGACCAGTCAGCACGGAAAACAGATAAGCGTACTGCAAAACGCGTGACAGTGAATCCTGTAGCAGAGCAAGTCAACGAGGATCCTGCCAAGGGACGCAACGACAAGGCAGACGAGTCATTGAGCGCACGTCGCGCTCAACTGCAAGACGCCTCAAACCGTGGACACTCATTCCTGCACTCATACGGTGCAGACTTTAGCTCGTCCTTCCAGTCCTTGCCAGCAGCGACAACGCCAGGTGGAAGACCCCCAGCTCAGCATGGACATGTCAGGGGGCCATCAATCGCCGAAACGTCCGACATGCCACCTCCTTCCGAGAGTCTACTCAGAACCATCACCGACTCACTACCGGTCCAGATATTTACTGCCGCGCCTAATACTGGTGCGGTCACTTGGGTGAATTCAAAGTTTCTGATATACAGAGGCCAGGATCAACGCCAAGTATTGCAGGACCCATGGAATCCAATCCACCCAGAGGATCGCGAGTCGTACCTAGAAGAGTGGAGCAGATCTCTGCGCACTGGACAACAATTGCAGAAGAAGGTGAGACTGCAGAGATTCGATAACTGCTACCGATGGTTCTACGTCCGTGTTGCCCCACTCAAGAACAAGCGTCAACAGATTGTTCACTGGATCGGGACCAATATGGACTTCCACGAACAGCATACTGCTGAGCTGAACTCGGCGCGGCAGCAGGAGACGGCAGCCTCTGAGGCCAAATATCGCGCGCTAGCGAACTCCAGCCCGCAGATCGTTTTTGTTGTTTCCGATCGGCGGGGCTTGACGTTCTGCAACTCTCAATGGACTGCTTTTTCGGGCCAGACCGAAATCCAGGCCCTGGGCAACGGCTTCCTAGAGCACGTGCATCCTGATGATGTCATCAAGTGTAAGCTTCCTGAGTTGGATGAAGACGGAGTCGCCAATGTTCCCACTTCGATGCCAGCAGACCATGGGCGAACCGAATCCCACTCGTCTGATACTTCGTCTGAAACTGAGAGGACAATCACTAGTCCTGGTGGATCGACGCCTGATCGCATGGATATGCCCCAAGCCAAGTTGTCGAAACTAGCAAGCACCGGCATATTGAGAGTCGCCAAGGATGCGCACGGGCGAGCGTCTTACTCTACCGAAGTTAGGCTACGCAACAAGGACGGCGAATACAGGTGGCATCTTGTCAGGATCCTATTAGAGAAGTCACTCTCTGAAGACGGTGATGAAGAGACTTGGTATGGCACAGCCACAGACATCAACGACCACAAGCTGCTCGAGCAAACATTAAAGGAGACTATGGACGCAAAGTCCAAGTTCTTGAGTAACATGTCTCACGAGATTCGAACGCCCTTGAATGGTATCTCCGGCATGGTCAACTTCTTGCTAGATAGCACGCTCAACTCCGAACAGCTAGAGCACGTCAACATCATCAAAGCCAGTACTGATAGTCTGCTTAATCTTATCAACGACATCCTTGATCTGTCAAAGGTCGAAGCAGGCATGATCAAGTTGTCCATGAAATGGCTCCATCTGCCGTCGCTTCTCGAGGAAGTCAACGATCTGAACATGGGCCTGGCCATACAGAAAGGCCTTGAACTCAACTACCTCGTGGATGAAGGAGTACCAGCAGAAGTCAAGGGTGACAAGTTCCGCATCAGACAAGTCCTTCTCAATGTGGTTGGCAATGCGATCAAATTTACTGAGCATGGAGAGATCTTTATCAGATGCAAGCTGCAACCACCCGATCGTTCTCGTCCTCTACGAGATAACGAGACTATGATCCGGTTCGAAGTTGTAGACACTGGCCAAGGCTTCACAGACGCCGAGGCTAAATATCTTTTTAAGCGATTCAGTCAAATTGATGCCAGCAGCACCAGGCAACATGGTGGAACTGGTCTTGGATTGGCTATCTCCATGCAATTCGTGGAACTCCATGGAGGTAGAATGGATGCTCGAAGTGCGCCTGGTAAGGGCTCGACATTCTTCTTCACCATCAAGTTTGGGCTGCCAACTGCAGATGACTACCCCAAGCCCCAGGTCTCTACCCCTGGTACACCGGCCTTTGAGACTCCACTCTCGATGCCACCGGTGCCTTCGCTTCCGCCTCAGCCCTCTGCTCTTCAGAAGTTTGTTCAGTCGCAGAATCCAGGACATGCACAGATCAAGCGTGTGTCAAGTGTGTCTTCTGAGAAGAGCGAATCTCCCAGATCTCCAGCGCTCAGCCTATCAGCTTCTGAGCGATCGCGTGACTCGCCCTCTCTCTCGTCGGGGAGCTCGGACCATTCATTGACCAGCGCCGCACTTACAGGACAGTCAAGCTTGCGTTCGGAAAGATCGTCTGCATCTTCTTATTTGAAGGAAACCAGTCCTGCTCCGGACCCCGACATCAAACTAGCTCTGCCTCCCAAGCGAACCGATAGCGACCCGCAAGCTCCCAAACCCGACTCTTCGACGTCTGTTGAGTCGGACCAGACTCTCCGCGCGTCGTCACCGCATCGCAGTCTTTCACCACTTGGTAGCGCCTTGCAACCTCCCATGTATTCTATTTTGGTGGTCTGCCCACTAGAGCATAGTAGAGAGGCGACGATTCGACACATCAAGAACACACTTCCTCAAGGGATACCCCATCAGGTGACAGGCCAGGCTAGCGTGATTGAGGCGCAGAAGATGATGGGAGGCGACAATCCGGTGTTATTCACCCATGTTGTACTTGTGTTACACGACACTGCCGAGGTACACGCCATCGTGGATCAGATCTTCAGCTCCATGGCGTACGGTAACACATCTGTCGTCGTAGTCTCGGATCCATCCCAGAAGAAAGAGCTCATCAAGGAAGCACCAGTATATGATTACGAGCAGCTTCATCTGGATCGACGCTTGCAGTTCATCTACCGGCCGCTCAAGCCATCAAAGTTTGCCATTATATTTGACCCACAGAAGGAGCGTGAGTCGAGCACGGACCGCAACCAAGACAGCGCGCAGCAGGTCGTGGTCAGCCAAAAACTCGTCTTTGAAGAACTCAAGCGTCGGGTAGGCGGCAAGAATCATAAGGTCTTGCTGGTGGAAGACAACAAGATCAACCAAACGGTAAGCTTTCGCTCTGTAAATATTGTACATTGGTCCATACTAACTGCTCGTAGGTGATCTTGAAGTTTCTTGCCAGAATAGAGATTGAAACAGAGACAGTACAGGACGGTGTTCAAGCCACCGAAACCATCTTTTCCAAGCCGCCAGGCTATTACTCAATTGTTCTTGCAAGTAATAATACCGATCTCTTCTGTTCCATGCTAACGTTGACCAGTGTGATCTGCACATGCCCAACAAAGATGGGTACCAGGCTTGCAAAGAGATCCGGCGATGGGAGAAGAAACATGGCTACCGTCGCCACCCAATCATCGCACTCTCAGCCAACGTCCTGGGTGATGTATACGCAAAGTGCGTAGAAGCGGGCTTCAATTCGTATGTCACGAAGCCTGTAGAGTTCAAGGAGCTCTCTCTTGCCATGACCAAATTCCTGGATCCGGCCGACCCCTCGAAACAGCCTGCCTTCATGAAAAAGAAGTGAGGGGGGCTGTGTTTTACTTTCACGTACACGAACATACATTGTATCGAGGCACAGTACTCGATTTTAGTCCTACCTGCATCAGCGAACGGCGCAGTTGGGGAAAACGGCATGTGCTACTAGGCACATGGGACATGACATGGGTCGACGTTCTACTACCAGCGCACTAGAGGTGCGCTTTCCTCGTCTGGATGTCGTTCGCATCTTATATTCTAAGTTTAAATCTGCATTTGGATTGGTTAATGGACGTAATGGTTTCTTGCGGATGCATGAGCATTTGACGGCGTATTTTTACTTGGGAGCGCAGCTGGTGGAGAATCATACCCCTTGAGATAGTCGGTTGGGCGGTATTATGACGGCAATTTCTGCCATGGGATAGAAAGAGAGGGATACCAACAGGCACTTTATATATACCAAGGTATGGGTAGAGATGATGATGCGAGTGCAGCCCTACGGATGAGCGCGAACTTGTACGATAGAGACGATGTCATGGAGATGAGAATATATTTTAAGATCAATAATGTTAGCTCAACGCTCGTGGCCTGCTTTGGTGTTTACTGTTAGTGCGAACGATATGTACAGAGCTGAAGCGTTCCACGCGACCAACATGCATACGCTAAACATGCATGTCCGTGTCAAGAAACGTCTTCTCCACCCCCCAAAACCCACGATGCAAACATCACCACTTGCTCCACAGTTTGTCATCTCTGCGCTCATTGGCTGGCCAGGAGTGCATCTGACATCTCCATGGCGCTGATTGGTGGATATGTACAGGGGTTGGTGTTGTCGTCATTGTCGGCCTGAGCTTCCTCATTGCCCAAAGTCCGAAGCACCCCTCTGACACCAGTCGCGCGCTGACGCTGTGTCTTCCTTTTATCGCTTCCTCGAGTCGCACTCTTTGTATCACGGTGCTTGGTTCTGTATATCCTCAGCATGGCTTCTGCGACCGGAATTCCGCCAAATGTCGCTGCGGCGCGCGGCCAGAGCGAAGAAGAGCCTCTTCTAGGCAGAAGAGGAGATGCTAGCCAACTGCATGGACAGCCACTCTATCACAACCTGTGGATCGGTACGTGCCGAGAATCTGCACGAAGACTGTGTACGAAGAAGGAGATTGCTAACAGACTGACAGGCACTGCTCCCATCGCGCAAGCAGGCATATGGATCGTAAGCGCACCTCGGCGACCCGTCGAATGCTACAACAAATACTAACCTACCAACAGCTAGCAGCCATAATCTGGGGAGCCATCTTCTCCAACAAACTCATCTTCTTCTCCGCACATCCAGTAAGCCCCCCCTTCCGTCTACACGTCTCGAAACACCAAGCTAACCGCGCAGCTCCTCAACTCCGTAAGCCACAACACTACCCTAGTCACCCCCTCCCGACAACCGTATCATTGATACCCCCAATAGGCCGGCTTCCTCCTCGCGATCCAAGCCGCTCTCGTCCTCCAACCCACGCACACGCCCGAGCAGAAGCGCTCCGGCACCATTGCCCACTTCCTCTTCCACGCCGTGGGCGCATCGGCGCTAACAGCCGGACTCATCATCATCGAGATGAACAAAGCGGGCCCCGGCCACGCACACTTTGAGTCTGCGCACGCCCGTCTCGGTCTTACGTTTTACATACTCGTCTACATTCAGGCTATTGTCGGCTTCACGCAGTACTATGTCCCGCAGCTATATGGTAGCGTGGATAATGCAAAGAGCGTGTACAAGTACCATAGGATGGCGGGTTATGTCATTGCCGTCTTGGGACTTGCGACGATTTGCGCGGCTACGTGGACGACGTATAATTTGAATGTGGGGGGTATTCAGCATTGGGCTGTTATTGTTGCTAGTGTGTTGGTGCTGGTGGGTGTTGTGCCGAGGATTAGGCTGAGTAAGTTTGGGATTAAGACGGAGGAGGGCGAGGTGAGGTTGCAGTAGGTGAAGGACATGTTATGAATGGGCTATGGTTAGGGTGGATAGTGTTATGATCTCCGTATATACGGAAAGGTCAGTTCGCAGATACGACATGGGTATAGTTGGGGTCTTTGGACATGGCGGTGCATTGGAAGGCGTGTTGGTCAGTATGCAGTCTCTCAAATTCTTCACATTCTCCTTTCCAGATGCGCAGTCCTCAAAGTATTGTTCGCTTTCCAGCAGACCTCTCATGCTCACTTCATAGGTTCTTGTACCCCTCTGACGCTAACGAGCGTAAAGCAAAGCCCATCACTTCTCCTTCTACCAACCATGCTCTATGATCTTCTTCTCTAGAACTCCCAAAGCAAGACCGTTGAATTCGGTCAAGAGGACCTTCACTTCGGGTTTCTTGACTAAGCCCATATGTGCGCCGATTGTCTCACTGACAATGTCGCGCAGACCTTTGTCATGGTCGGGGGTGGTGGAGAAGACATGGTCAGCTGCAATGGAGAACTTGTCATCGTCCCAGAGATACTGGCACGCCCATTTGAACTTCTCAATGGCCAGATCCTTGAGTCCAACTGCGTCGTATTTGTCCGCAATCTCATACATCTTGGCGTGAAGGAGGAGTTGATCAGATTCACTGTTTGGCGGAGGTATTGACGGCTCTGGATTGTTGCATTCTTTGCAGTTAAAGTTGCGGCAATTATGATTGCAATCTGCTGAACCACTTGCTAAACCGAACACTGGCGCGCGACATGTGTGATGTGGACAAACGGGAGATAGGTGGCAGAATCTACCGGGTTGGCTGCATGAGTGGGGAAATTGGTAGCTGTACGCTCGCCCATGGGGATCATGTTTCGGGCGACCGATCCTGGCTGCAAGTAAAGCTTCTCGAGATTCGTCGTCTGGAAGCAAAGGCTCGTATTCGCCTTCATAGAGGTACTGAATCAAAAGCTTAATAATTGTTGGCTCGTCTTCAGGAAGATCGATGATACTACTCTCTGATTCCTGGGTGACCTGTCAGCTTCCGATTTTCTCACCTTGCTTCAAATGCTTACCTTTCCGCCAAATTTCAGGTTACGAGCGAAGAACTCAGCGCGCTCGCACACAATGACCTTATGGACCTTGTGCGTATCGTTACCACAAGTGATGGTAAGATCAGAGTATGCACCAGATTTGAGGACACTGGAAGCGAGTCAGTGTGATGGCGCCACGGCAATGAGAGAGAATGATGTGATGTTGAGACTGAACATGCCCTTTGAGTGAAGCTAAAATCTGTTTCTCAGCAGCCTCTGCCATATCTTTGGTTGTTCGTAATTGCGTTACTGGGTGAGGATAGAACACTAAAGTATAGAGGGTAGTCCCTCGTCTGTAGCCCCGCTGTTGACCCGAACTTTCTCCCAAAATAGTCACTGGCAAGGTGAAGATGAAAGACGGTTGCAGGTGTTGGAGTATAGAAGCGATGCGATGATTCTACGCATGATCTGGTTATATAGGCAGTACACTAGTGGTCCTGGCAGGTACCAATAACAACATGAGATGGCTCTTTCTTCAGCAGGAAGTATGCAGTGGAACACGATTCCATGGAAGCGGCTTGTCGCGCGCTTACGAGACGAATGAAACGAAAGGTTCTTTAGTCAACTTTGAACAAAACGTGCACTGACGTTCAAGGGAGCCTCAGCCCAGTGACAATTTTGATTTTATGCTAAATCCGGTATGTCTATCAAGTCGAAGTCATGGAATCCTAATGCTAATTCTTATAGAGTTATATGAAGGCGTAATCGGGCTGTTGATACGCAATTGCTGATTTGTATTAATCTTTAAACCTGCGGGGGAATATAACCGAACTAATGATCATCAAACTACAACCTCGCCTCAACTAGCGCCCCTTGCGACTGAGGCTCCTGCATCTGCCCTTGTCCCTTCTGCCGTATCGCCTCCTCAAAGATTTGCATAAACCTCCAAACATCGTTGAAAGTGTTGTACATTGGCACAGGCGCAACCCGAATGATACCTGGTTTCCTCTTGTCGCAGATAACACCACCTTCTACCAGCGCTGCGCTCGCATCGTCAAAGACGTCTTCTGGGAGCAGAACACTGAGTTGTGCACCACGGAACCGAGGATCTGTGGGTGTGATGATTTGGAAGGGGAAAGCGCCGTCCTTGATGTTACGTGCGGCGATCTGAGAGAGCAGGTGCTCAGCATATGCCGTCAGGAGCAGGGATCGTGAACGTAGGTCGGCCATGGAAGTCTTTTCGAAGACGCTGAGCGAGCCAGCTAGGCATGTGAGGTCGACGATCGATGGATTTGAACATTGGAAACCTTGCGCGCCGGGTGTAGGAACGAACTTGTTGTCCATGAGGAAGCGTGATGACTTGTCGTGGCTGTACCAGCCCTTGAGTCCCTTGTAGTGGTCGTTGTTGCCGTGCTTCTCATGGATGAAAGCACCTGCGATGGAACCGGCACCGGCATTCATGTACTTGTATGTGCACCAGCAGGCGAAGTCGACATCCCAGTCGTGGAGCTTCAGCTCAGCGTTGCCGGCAGCGTGCGCTAAATCCCATCCGATGGTGATGTTGTGCTTCCGTGCATGTGCGGTAATGGTTGGGATGTCGAGTAGTTGGCCACTATAGTATTGGATACCAGGTAGCATGATCAGCGCCAACTCGTCCACGTTCTCGTCAATAAGTCTGAGGATGTTCTTTGTAGTCATGATGTGTCCGTCATCTGGTTCAACCAAGAGCATCGACTTTTTGGGATCGAGACCATGCCATTCTATTTGCGATTCGATCGCATACCAGTCGCTAGGAAATGGTCGCCACTCGCACATAATCTTGTGCTTCTTCTCCGTAGGCTTGTAGAATGCAGCCATCATCAGATGCAAATTGATGGTCAATGTGTTCATGGCAACGATTTCTGAGGGTGATGCGCCGACGATGTCAGCCATTCTCTTTGAGCATCCCGCAGCCATGTCTTGGTATGGGGTAAGTGGCGAGTCCTCGAGGGCGGTAAAATGGCCACCAACGGCGATGGATCCCCATGTCTTCAGGTATGCGTTCAGGTGCTCGCCAATGGCCTTTGGCTGTAGGCCTAATGAGTTACCGCAGAAGTAGATAGCCTCGTCATCGGGTGTTGATGCTGGGTTGGCGGTTTGTGCGTCATCTTTTAGGGTTTTCCGCTTGAGTTGCGCCTTGCTAGGAACAACAAATTCTGGTCGGAATGTTTTGGGGATCTCTGCGCTTTGGTCGAGAGAGTGCGCGAATTCTAATGATTCGGCATTTGCTGGCCACTGTGGCTTTTGGCCCTGGCGTAGCTGCTTGATTGCTGCGGCGGCGTCCATGGCGATGTATTGTTGGTAAGGGTTATTTGTCTTGAAGAATGCCAACAGAGCTGTAATGTTATGTATGAATTCGAGAATACGGTCAGGTAGACGGCATCAGACTATATATGCATCTCGATCCGACGATTACGTCTCGCAGTAAGAGCCTTTGAGGCTTGCAGCAAACTAAGCTTGCACCTTCTCAATTGGGGTCGCGGACATTGTTCCGACATCGCTTCCGTCGTTCCGGGTTCCGACAAGCATCCGAACGCGACCGTGATTGCGCGTGGACCTATCTGTTCAGCGTAATAAAGCAGGAGTTCGCCGCTTCAATGCAGGACGTATCCTTCCGATATTCTTGTGCTACGATACTGTCGCTACCACTTCCGCAATGAGTCCTCATAAGATTCCTGCTCTCCCTTCGCCCGCCGCACTCCCTTATTACGGCATCTCAAAGAACGGCTTCTTGCCTGCCAAGTCACCATTGACTCGCTTACCGCATACCTACTATCAACCATGGGAAAAGATCATTGAGCAAATCCCAATACTCGTCGAGACACAACAAATACGGCAATGGGTTGACAAGTTGCCGGTTCTAGACACATCACATCTTTCTAGTGAGGCGGAATGGCAGAGAGCTCATTCAATGCTGGCCGTCATAGCTCAAGGTTACATATGGGCTGGTCCTGAGCCATCAGAGGTATGCTAGCATTAGCCCGGAATTGTTAAGACGTGAAATACTAACAACAAACGTAGCGACTACCTCCAGCCATCAGTGTACCATTCCTGCGGACTGCTGAGTATCTTGAGGTGCATCCGGTGGCCACATACGCAGCTCTAAATTTATGGAATTGGACACCATTGAGCGAGAACGCCGACTTGACACAACCGGAAAACATGGTGACGTTGCACACAGTGAGTGGTAGTGATGATGAATCGTGGTTCTTCATCATATCCAACGCCATGGAGGCAAGAGCTGGCCCACTGATCGAGGCCATGCTGGGTGCAGTCGAAGCAGTAGAGACTAATGATGTCACAACAATCATACACGCGCTGCAATATTTCCGACAGGGAATGCAAAGCATCGGCCAGCTGCTGGAACGTATGGATGAGCGATGTGACCCGCAAATGTTTTATCACACCATTCGACCCTTCTTGGCTGGCAGCATGAACATGGCCACCGCCGGTCTGCCCAACGGTGTCTTCTATGACGAGGGCAATGGAAACGGCACATGGCGGGCATATCGGGGCGGATCCAACGGTCAGTCGTCATTGCTACAGTTTTTCGACGCGGTTCTTTCAGTCGACCATTTCCGGAGCGGCGGCTTTCACGCGGAAATGCGTGGTTACATGCCTGGACCCCACGCCCGCTTCCTTGACGACGTCGCCGCGATCGCAAACATCCGAAGCTATGTTAACAGTCATAGAGATAACGTTGAGCTCCTGACAGCATTCAACGAAGCAGTCGCAGCACTCAGCGGATTCCGCGACAAGCACATCGCTCTGGTGACCAGGTACATTATCATACCGAGTCGGATGGGAAAGCCAACGACTGGCCCTAAAAGAAGAGATCTCGCTTCCGCCTCGACCGAACTAGCTACCGGGAAGCCAAAAACGCAAGAATTGGTAGGGACAGGAGGTACTAAGTTGATACCATTCCTACGAACTTCGAGAGACGAGACGAGCGAAACGAAAGTCGTGCATTGAAAGGTGTTGGAAAAGACCTTTTAGAAAGATACCCGTGATGCTAAGGCATCCCTTCAGAGCCTATGGGAAGAAGTCGCTACCTGTCTGTTGATCGTGGATGGGAAACAGGGGTATATCGGCAACAGATACGCCGTCGAGATTGTGAGTGCCTGGTTGGAGGAAGTCTTGGAGACCTTGGTCGTTCTCGCTCGGCCATGGCATGGCAAAGAAGTCGGCATCGTATATAGTCCAATCGAGTGGCGCTGCGGAGGACACATGGCGCTGGATAGAATCTCGAGAAACCAAAGAACCAGGGCCAAGCTGCGCCTCGCATTCCTCCGTCTGAGGCTGGAGACCAGTAGGCTCAGAAGGCAACAAACCAAACAGTTCAGACGAAGCTTGTTTCCGTTTCCGTCGCAAATGCAACTCTCTCTTCTTCGCATGTGCGGTGGTGATCTTGAGTAGCGATTGAGCGACCTGCGAATATTGTCGCGCATGAGGGTCGACTTGACCGAAGTGATCCATGCATATTATCGCATCCTTGCAGCTGTCCACCAACATGAGTCCTGAGTCACCAAGCACACCAACTGCAAGAACGAGTGTCGCAGTGAAAAGCCAAGACCTGATACTTGTTAGCTCTGGTTGATCCGGAGGAGGGTGTAGCTTACACTATCAGCGGCATCCTGCGAGGCAACTGGTTCGTACGAATGACAGCCAGTAGAGTATCGACTAGCGTTGAGGCTGCATCAAGTGCGGCATCCGCATACTTGCGCTTCTCTTGATGATCAGCTTGTGTGCCCCCACTCTTCAGTGGTGCGCCCATGTATTCGTATAACTCGTAAATGAGGAATGGTCGTGTGAGTAGCATTATGCCATAATAGTATGAGCAGAGTGTGGAGCAAGCGCCCACTACTGCTTCCCGAGAACGACGTCTAGCAGTGAGCCCGGATAGTTTATGCAGCCATTTGGATGCCCAGTTCTTCAATTGTCGCGAGACATAATCGGCAATACGTAAAGATATACGTTTGCGCGAGTACACTTCAACGACAACGCGTTCGATGATCATAAAAATCTGGACGCTTGCGTCCAGTACGCTGACATCATCGGCTTCCATACCATCCTCTAAGGCATTGTACTTGACGGTGCAGTCAACATCGGAAGTAGACGGAGGTCGACCTAAGGCATTGCTAGAATACGAGCGGAGTGATTAGCGAAGATCCCAAAGCAAGGTTATCAACCTCTGATGATATACCCAAGAGGTTGTCGCCAGGATTGTAAGTTAGGCAGCGTACAGAGCTAAACTGTGATAGTAGACCATAATGAAACTCAATCTGTTTCTTACCTTATTAATTGATCAGTGACACGGATGCTCTTCCAGATGCGATCTCGTACCAGCTTGATGGTCTCTCCAAAGGAAGCGTTTACTTCAGTTCGGTGTATGCCGATTGCATATGCGGCGCGCGCAGCCAAGGCTAGGAAATGTTAGCGATCCGCATGTTTCGTCCTCCCGTTCGCATACAAAAATACAGGTAAGCTCCGTTCGGCTGAGATGCTCGGAGCATAAAGATCGCTACAAGCGCGAAACCTTGGACTGTAGAGACATTCATGCTACTGCACATATGCTTCAGAAGCAGATCCCGAGCTGTGTTGAACCAAGCTTCTGCCTTCTCTTCAAATCTTTCTTGTGCACCAATAGCAAGAACAAGATAAAATACTGCAGCTGCGGCGTCGTCTGAGCTTGAGGTTCTGCTACTTGCCCAGGCTTTCAGTTCAGGAGCGAGATCCTCTTTCTGGAATAGCTGAACGAGACCACTACTTGCAGCAATATATTCATTGACTAATGCGTCCACTTGGTTTACATCGATTGGAGGACATGAATGTTGATCTGCTGATTCAGGACGCGCAATCTCGATGATGGGGTCGCGAGTGGCTTGGACAGTGGCTCTTGGATCAACCTCAGATGTGATGAGGTGCCTGACTGTCTGTAGAAAAGACAGCGGAGCACAATCGCCAATAAATATTGACTTCCCTTGCGCGTCACGAAGGATGCGGCCTTCAAGAGGCACTACTGTGTCTCCCTGCTGATCGTCTCTACTTAGTGTTGGGGAGAGTGATGTTCCAACGTCAGCAACTTCACGATCGTTCCTCTCCCGCAGAACATTGTCCTGTTCGTCGCGGTCGCGGTCATTCGGTGTATGGCCTGCGGAACGAGCGTGAGGGCGGTGGATGTCGTCGGAACGGGCACCGTGAGTAGGAGTGTGTCCGGCGGAACGCGTGGAAGGACGGGCATGATGACCACTAAACGTGCAAGTAGCCGCACGATCCTTTCGCGTACAGTAAGCGCATGGTTGTTCGCCGTCACATTTGACCTTTCTCTTCTTGCAAAGATCGCAGGCCGCAGCGACACGCTCGAGTCGACGCCGTTTCTCCGGACGCGTCGGCAGTTGATCCAATGGTGTGGACATGTCGATGATCAATGTAATGTACCCTAAATGTGTTTGCAGCCTTTTGCTTTCCTAGCATGTAAGTATGAGCCAGAGCGCGCTGCAGCGCTGAATGACGGGACTCGTTGAACCGTTTGACGGATGTTGTTCCGACGAGACTGTCGGACGGGAAATTTCGGCTGATAGCGGGCTTGGCATATTGTCTTTAGGCCGCCAGGGTGCGGGCGTCATCGCGCGCTCTTTCCGCGTGTGGCTGGCAGCATCATCATCACTAGACGCGTCCATCATCCGCTAGTCAAGTGCAGAACCTACGAACCATATGATCAGGTTGCGCATATGCAATATGGCAGTGGGAGCTTGGGTGATAGCATGCGAATACTGTATAGAATCAAAACATCCGACGTGAAGCTACGGTATCTTATCGGTATGCGGCTCGCCTTCGGCCACATGCTTCACGACTCACTACAAGCCTCTTGCCTCAAGGACCCCTTCCTCATGTCCAATGCCCATGGTCCATACCAGCGCACTCAACAACTCTCCCTCGACAACCCCATGGACCTCTCTCAGGCCTCTCGGCTCAAATCCCAACCTTATCAACGCATTTTTACTCGCCTTGTTGTCTGGTCTACAAAAAGCGCAAAATTCTTTTTGTCCTTTCTCTTCTCTAAAGTAATTCAGCAGCGCTGTTGCAGCTTCAGTAGCGTAACCGTTTCCAAAATATCGAGATAGTAAACCGAAGCCTACGTCTGGGATTGTTGGTGCTGCAGGGGCGGACGGGAACCGTGCATGTTGCATCGATACAACGCCGATTGGTACCAACCGTCTTTCCGAAAAAGGCAAGGTGCTTTCTTCAAGTGCTGATATGTCCGAGGTCGAGGTTGGCTTCAGAGAGATGAGGTAGCGACCATAGCCTGTATTCTCCATTCTGTCTATACAGTCCGCGATGAACTTCCTCCCAGCGTCGCGAGGAGGAGTGCTCATTGCCTTCTCCACGGCGGCTGCAGGCATCTCTTTAGTGATGCCTGGACTGAGCATCAGGTCGTGTATGAAGTCGCAATGCGCATCGTTGGTAGGTAAAAGGTGAGATATGAACAGACGGGGTGTCGTGAGATGGAAGTCATGGTCAAGCATTTCGAACGAGGCTGAAGAAGCTTAGTTGTTGGCCGAGCTGAGCTTCTTATGTCTCCGTCTTGACGTACTGGGTGATGGCTGCCTAGAGATATGGCAAATGACTCAGATCGCTCGGGTTTAGCCTGGGGAACGCCCGAAAGCAAGAAGCTTGACCCATCAGTACCTTCGCTTGATTACCTGATTGAGGAAAGGCGTCGGCATCGTGTTTGTCAGTCGCAGTCAGTGTCGGCATGTAAAGATTGAAGATCCATATGATCGGCGGTTTCCTATTAAGCTGAGCGCCTTGCACGATCTTGCGACTTCTGTAACTATGACAGCAGGAAAGGTCCAAACAAGTGTCGGCGGCGTCGCGTGTATGATAGCGAAATCGAGAGCTTTAGTTGTTGTGTTACTCGTGTGTAGATGCAATTGTATTCAACTAACTACCACCAAAACGATGTCCAGGAGTTTAATCAACTTATGGTGCCGTTTGCGTCGCGGTCGCGGCCGTCCGCCAGTACGCATGGCCTTCCATGGCTGGTGTAGTCGTCGCAGGCACGTCGTCGTGACACCTGCCAAACCAGCCTTTCGAGGTACATGTAGTTGTTGGCTCACTAGACGTAGTAGTAGTCGTGCTAGTTGTGCTAGTTGTGCTAGCTGTCGTTTTGTCTTTGCAACCAAACCATCCGGGCTTTAGAAGTCAGCGAAGTGTGCGCAGTCATGGAATTTATGAACTCACAGTTTGACAGGTACTTGTACTAGTACTGGTTGCGGTACTTGATGGGCTGGATGAAGTGGTCGATACCATCGTAGTGGTCTCATCACGGCATCCCCACCACCCAGGTGTCTTACACGTCTCAGTCCGTGTCCTTGAGGACGTAGTACTTGTTGCAGTCGTGGAGCTGGTTGTCGCTGTGGTGTGGGTGCCGTTCTCAAACTTCCACAGATAACAATCGACGCACCCAACGTCCTCTTCCTGACATATTGCTGCCTCGTCGTACTTCATGTACACGTTGTCAATGGCGTACCTGAGACTATGTGTTTGCGTGTTCTGTCTCCATCCCCAATCCTTCACCACATCATATGCACATCTTTTCCCGGTATGGCAGAGTGTTTCGAAAGCATATCCGCCGATTGAGCAAAAGCTCGTCGCGCCGTTGCAGGTGCCCATATATACAGGGTCAGCGGTATGCCCGAAATGAAAGCCGCCTGTATTCTTCCTAAGTGGAGCGACATCGCCGGCAGCTGGCAAACCCAAGCGCTTAGCTGCTAAGGCTTGCGGATAGGCCTCGAATGTCACCGCAGGAATACCGTGCTGCAAGCCAATCAAAGAAGCCAAGACACCTCCCAAACTGTGTCCCGTCGTCATAATGTTCGCATCCGGGTAGAGTTTGAGGACCTCCTGATACAGCCCGACAGTCGCAGCATAGTATCTATTCGGCCTTCGTAACTCGTCCTTGACACATTGCTCGTCACAGCTGTAGGTGCCAGTTTGACAGTCGCACACTTTGCGCCAAAGATATGTCCCGCCTTGGCCGCAACAGCAAGAGCCGTACAAGTTGTCGTTTTCTTTGTCGTGAACGGAGGTTCCATCGCCTTCAAACATGGCTACAGTCGTTCCCTTCACCGCCAAAATGATGGTGGAATTGGTATCATCGCTAAACACGTGACCTCGGATGCCACTGTCATCCCAACCAAAAGGAACTGATGAATTGTAACGTCCGTCAACGTCCATCCATCCAGCGTCATCACGACCGACCTTGTAAGCATCCTCGGACATGTTCGCGAAACTGATTACCGTGTTCTTGTCCGTAACATCCGGACCCGGTACATCTTCGGCGACCCACATGGACGACATGGGGATCTGTGCATCGTAGCCACGCAATGCAGGTCGTTCTATCTTCACCGGTGCTGTCTTGATAGCGAAGGGTCCGATGTGAGTATCAAGACCAGCTACGGCAAATCGCTCTGGTGTCACATCGAATCTGCGTGCTCGTGGTCCAGACTGGCCAGCGCCATGATCTATAAGGTGGCGCAAAGTGAAGCCGTTTGGTCTTGTTGCTGTCTTCACTGCTGCTTCCGCTAACGTGGTCGGCTCACGGGAGTTGCCATAGCTCGTATAAGTCCAGAAGATAACGGCAAGCAACGCGACCTGCGCGAGGATGCCAAAGGCGAATAGAGTGTTGGAAGGCCTGCTCCGATGATTAAGAGTCGAGTTGTTTGATGGCATGATGTGTGGACATTGTAGAGGAGGCGAGAGATGGGACTGTTATGATAAGCGCGTCGATGGCTGAGTCGCCGCCTTGCGCACGGCCCGCCCTGGCTCGTGATAGGAGCTACGACCAAACTCGGTTAGCATATTTTATGCTACGTCACGCGCCTCCATCCACGCGCACCTCTCATCCGGCACGAACTGAGCCTCACGAATCGCGAACGAAGTCACCAGGTATTGGAACAACGTGTCATCGACGCGTCATATCTACACTCATCGAACGCACCCATTGTCGAAGAGATCTTAAGGAACTACAAGTCTCCCAGGCACCCTGAGCGATCGATGCATAGCAGGATATAAGCACGGTGCAATTGTCGGTGTCGAGTCATCCAAGCTCATGGTGGTGCGCTTTGAGCAGCATAGATTAATGCCAATAGGCTACTGGAGTGACCTGTAATAGCAGCGCACATGTGTCGAGTTTAGACGCGAGCGTTGAGCTCACCCCAAATGCAAGGCGTTGAGCCCTGGTTTCTATGTTGAAACAACATCCCAGATGTTGAAGCCTCATCCATCAATCCATTCGCACAATCATCGCTCATGGCTCTTTTCGATACTCTTCTTCAACTCTTTGATGGCTGCCGGCCCTGCATTCGACAAACTGATCGCCGCAGCCATCGCTCCACAAGCTACAGTAACGATATGACTTGTCTTACAACCATCTAGATATCCACCCAACACCTGCTCCAGCTCGTGACCTGAGAAAAGAGCGCGTATCTGCGTCGCGCCGGCATCTAATACCACTTTCGCATCGACTTGTGGCAAATTACGGGCAAGACTTGAAAGGAGTCCGTTCGTGAATGCGGCTTCACCCGATGCGACAAATAGAACAGTACCACAATTCTCCATGAACAGCGACATAGATGTTGCTGCTCCCAGGTCTTCAACGGGAACCAGGGCTTGGTTCGCGATCATCGGGATTTGAAGAGCGAGGCCAACTCCCATGGCTGTCAAGAGTTCGAAGCCAACCCAGTCTTTGATTGGTGTACTGGCGTCCAGGGAGTGTATCTTCGTATTGCCAACCACAGCAAAGAGTGCGCCAAGTAAGAAGAAGGGCTTGTAATGGCGCCAAAATGTGAGCAGTCCATTCGATATCATGGTGAAGACCGAGACGCCCATGACAAGCGGGATGAGCCGGATACCGCTTTGCGAAGCCGTGTTGTTGTCGACAGCTTGAAACTGAATGGGTAGCGTATACATAAGTGGGAAGAAGGCGCCAGCAAGGAACATGGCATAGAGCAAATTGGCTGAAACCAATTTGTTCTTGAACAAGTGAAACTGTACCATAGAACGGCTGCCCATGACATACTCGTTGACGGCAAAGCAGATGAAGAGACTTGCGAAGCCCACGAAGCTGCCAATAACACGAGCACTCGTCCAAGGTATGATGCCTATCCAGTGCATGGCCAGAATGAAGCACGAGAAACACCCGGAGAGTAAGACTGCGCCGTTAAGATCCAGATTCAATACTTTCTCGCGGAGAGGTACATCTTTGGGCTTTTCGGGGTTCTTGAAGCAAAGAAACATCGTGAGCGCTGCAGCGAAACCGATCGGTAGACTGATCCTGGGTAGAGTCAGCGCTATGGTGTACACAAGGAGGTTCCTATGACTCTTGCGTTATGCACACAGCATCCGATCGAGTGCTTCTAGTGGTGGCAAACCGTATGTCTGAACATATGATGCTAGGTTGACTTGCCAGAAGCAATACCTCCATCCGGGGCCATCTGTCAAAGCACCACCCATCAACGGCCCTACGACGCTCGCACATCCAAACGTCACACCCAGCACACCCATATACGCTGATCTGTACTCCGGCCCAGCAGTAATTGCGATGATGATGAACGCGCCTGTCATCACCCCACCACCGCCCATGCCAGCCACGATCCTTCCAAAGATCAACACCTCACTCGATGGTGCAGTTGCGCATATTACATTACCAATCTCGAACGCTGCAATCGCACACATGAATGTCGCTTTGAGGTTAAAGTACTGGTAAGCTTTGCCCCACGCGGATTGGAACGCAGTGTTAGTGATAGAGTATGACGAGCCATACCAGGCTATATTGCTGATACTGCCGAATTGGGTGGTGATACTCGGAATTGCTGTAGCGATGATTGTCGAGTCTAAAGCTGCGAGGAAGATGGAAAGGATAAGGCCGACTGTGATCAGAACCAAGCGGATACCACGAGGGTATTGAGGAAGCGGTGCAGTGGAATCAGATATCGCTGCAGCCGTTGGCGCTTCCACGGCTCCAAGATTGGCGAGCTCGATTGGTTCTCCGCTCATCATGCCGTACTTTGCGAATATTCTGTCGAAGAGTTGGAGCCTGAAAAACAAATCAAGACGACTAGAGCCGTATCAGTTTATAGATCCCCATAGGGTCTAGTGTCCGCGCTAGTAGCCAGTTCAGGTTAAACACCGGCATAAAAGCTTGCCTCGGTAGAGGCTTAGTCCGATGGTCGACTCCGAGTTATTTTTTCCTTCACGCCTACAAGCATGAACGTGGTGATGCAATGAGCATCGAAATTGAACCTACAGACATTCATGAACGCAGTTGCTGCAAGTCTCACCTAGCAATCTGAGTAGACGTGGGCTTGTGTTGGTTACGAGCAGAAATACGAACAAGTTCATTTCTACAAGGTTGCATCTTGAAGGTATACATGCTCAATTAAGTTACGAAGTATTTAGAGTTAGAATAAAAAGGGTTGAAAGGATAACAGTGTATACCCATAAGGCAGGCTCTAGCACTTGGGGTAAAACCTAGAAAAGATGAACTCTTTTGTATACGTGCCAGTTTCAGACATATCTCCAACACATTGACCCAATACGTTTAAGACAACACCGCTCTGAGGGTCTAAAGGCTTACGTCGCTATGCCATGCATCTCAAAGGTAACAAACTGCAAAAACACCTGAGCACCAATTGTCATAGCGAATATGCTTTGCGATTTCGTAACTAACCGTATGAATGAGCGAGGGAAAACAACATGTGATTTGGCGAACTTCGCAAATCCCGATCGCGCGAATTCGGTGAGTAACCTGAAAAGCAGATATGATCGTTAGTGATGTGAAGGTATGGTCTCCGATGTACCATTGACGGATACCCCAGATCATCGCAACTAGACGTTGTAGGAGACATTGGTGATATCCGTGAGGCCTGGGTGCTTTCAAGGGTATCATCGCGATATTTGTGCGTCATCCGCGGTCTTTGTTCGATCATTCGTGCGCATACTAAGCGCTTGCCTGGGTGTCATCGTGGGCTGACGAGTAACCGTAAACTAACTGCCACAGAAAGTCCAGGGTGGTGGTGTTGATGAGTGCTGAAGGCGTGGTGAGGTTTGGTGGGGAAGTCCAGGCTGTCGGCCCGCGGCGCGTCATTGTTTGCAGCGCGTTTCGCGTTCAGCCTTCCTGCCCGCCCACTCCGAACCGGCACCCTCACACTTTGACACCTTGACGCCGCTTCTTTCCCCGAATCGTCAGCGTATGCACCAGATTGATGAGGAACATTATGGCTATGACGCCCAGTATCGCTACGATACATGCTAATGGTGCCAGGATAGAAAAGATCGAGAAAACATATGAAGCCATGCCGAAGGAGTAATCGTTTGCAAGAGGCTCTGTCGCAAGCCCGACCTGCATCGCGGAGAGCACAATGGTAGTGTATGCGAACAGCGTGATGAGACTGTTGACGTTGTCACGCATGAAAGCCCCGTACGTCGTGCAGCCACTAAGGTACCCGCGAAACTTGCCCATGGTCAGGCGGTATATCCAGTTCAGCCGCCCGAGGCGCAACTCCCCGTAGTTGAAGCGCTGGTTCACGACCGGACGCGCTTCAAGGGAATCTACAGACGATGTAGTCGACGCGTCGATCGTGTGCACCTGTACAGAGGCGCGAACGACCTCGTCAACGAGCGTCAGCCATGCAGACCAAGTAATCTCCTTGGGAATGAGACCATGGTAGATGGCCAAGTTGTAGTCGACTTCTCTTTCGATGAGCGCGACATACGACAGTAAAAATCCCAGTGCAGTCTCGTACAGGTGCCGACGTGGGCAAATCTGCTCAGTCCAGAAGTCTGGGCAAAAGAGGAAGCGAGGCAGCGGTTTGAGAAGAATCAACGACGAAGGCGCCGACGACCAAACAAGGTGCAGGTCCAACTGCTCTGTCACAATAATCTCTCTTTTCTTCACCACTTGATAATGAAGAGGCCGCGGCGCGGTTGGCAGACCCACCAGCCAGAGCCATTCGTGAACCTCGTTCAAACGGCGGACATTTAGCTCGACATCCAGAAATGCACCGATGTTGTTGTCGATGCGCTCGATCTTGTAGTTCCTCCGGAACGTCGCTGGCAATAATGGAACTTTCGATTTTGACCCACCATCCAAACTTTCAGTCCTTAGCGGCGCCGTCCGGAAAGGCACTGGGTACTTGATCGACTGCTATACGAAATTAGTGTGTTAACGGAGACCCTTAAGGTTGCTACTGACCTCGAAGGAGTCAATCATCATGAAAACGACATCTAAGTCGTGGAGAAGGACTGCGATGGCGAGATGAAGACCTGCGTTGGTCGCCTAAGCGGATTCGCGAGCCTCCGCCCCGGTCCCGCCCCATTGCCAACAGCCCCGAGCGCTCGATAATCTGCCACCAATACGGTTGTGACCAGGGGGCTGTACGCCTGGCTGACACATCCGCTCCATATTTCTGTTTTTGGTAATTTTGGCCCCCAATATATTTGGCCCCCAAAGGCGCGAGCGAAGCCTGGATGCAGGGGCAAAGCCATGCGCGGGAGCGCAACGTTCTACAGACCGACCCTGAAAGTATTCCTTTGGCAATGGTTCAAACGTACCCGATAGCCACCAACTTTCAGTTTGCAGCGCAGTTCTGCTGCAACACCACAATTCGCGATGGCTTCGGCCACGAAGGTCCAGCATTCAAAATTCGACGCGCAGGTCAGTGTTATGCTCATCCGCGATTTTCCACCCATTAACGAGCGCAGTCGTTCAACCCCGGACTGAACGTCCTCTATCCCAGCGATGAGCAGGCATCATCAAAGGCCTCGATCAAACTCGAGTAGGTGGTCAAAAGCTGGGGACGAAAGACCAAAACTAATATCTTCGAGGATCATTGCTATTCCAGGGCTAGGAGCAGATCCGGAATATACATGGAAGAAGAACAAAGTGCATTGGCTACGTGATGCGAACATGCTGCCCAAGAAGATACCGCATGCCAAGATCAGCGTGTTCCAATATCAGTCACAGTGGTTCGGAAAGGGATCTGTTGACGAGCGCATCGACAATGTCGCAACCAAGCTACTACACGGACTCGACCGATCTAGAGTAGGTGAGCATGCTATCGCCACGACTACCTTCTAACACCTCAAAGGAAGACGCTAAGACGCCAATCATCTTCGTCTCGCACTGTCTGGGCGGCATCATCCTTGAAAAGGCCTTACTTATGTCAAGATCACGCCAGAAAGACTTCCCCAACGTATATCCCTGGATTGCAGGATGTTTCTTCCTCGGTACTCCTTTTCACGGCACATCCAGCCAGTCCAAAGCAATGGTTCTAGCATCCATGGCTGAGGTCGCCGGCTGGGGCACGCCATCAAGCCTACTCAAGGTTCTAGAGAAAGATTCCGAGATTCTGCGCAGTCTCCTCACGGAGTTCTCTTATATGGCAAGAGAAGCCCAGTTTCGGCTATTCTGCTTCTGGGAGGAGAATGATAGCGACCTGGTCAACTACCTTGTCAAAGGAATCTCATGGCTGAAGAGCAAGGAGCGTATCGTTGACCAGTCTTCCGCAACAATCGAGTCGTTCGATCACATGTCTCTTATGTCGGATCATTTCCAACTTAATAAATTTCCCGGGCCAAAGGATGGGAATTTCACTGCCGTTTCTGATGAGCTCCGTGAAACAGCCAACAAGGCAGACAGCATCATCAAAACCCGTCAAAACATGCTTCGACAGGCTCAGGTCGATGATCGCACATACCATAGCATGATGGATGTTCTAAGCAAAGGCTTTGCCGACGTAGACGCAGCTGTAAAGGGTACTTACAGAGGGGCGAAGGGCACAAAACCGTCTTCCGTGCTCGAAATCGACAGCTTCCAGACTTGGAAGACCTCGTCTGCACATCCTATCTTGTGGATTCACGGAAAGGCTGGTACCGGTCAAGGCGCGATTGCCACTTCTGCCCTTGAATACCTCGGACAATCTCCCGGTAAAAAGGCCATGATCATATCCTTCTTTTGCGACCAAGGCGATACGATGAGACGATCACTGAAAAGCTTGCTTCAGATGATTGTTCGACAGATGATCGATCTGGACCAGGATCTTGCACGGCATCTACTCTCAGATTCTCGCAGCAGCAAAGACGCTGGGAAGCAGAGCTTCGATGCCGAGGAGATACTCAAGGTGCCGGCATTGTGGGTGGCACTACACAAAATGGCAAAGGATCTATCTCGCACCAATGTTTTTATTACAGTCTATGGAGTGGAACAGCTTGCAGAAGAATCTTTGGTGCAGTTCCTGCAGTACATGACCGAGACCTTGGACACCGAGGCTGCTACAAAGGATGCAGAAGATACCCAAACTATCAAATGGCTGCTGCTAAATCGTAGCGGCCGACGAAACATCGAAAATTGCTTGAGACCGAGATCGCTAGAGATTAACTTGAGCAGTGCGGAGAACTCCGCGCATATCAGCGACGATCTCAAAGCAAACATATCTGTCAGTGTCGATGAACTCGAGCTTCCGTCATCTCTGGCATACTTCGTGAAGCGACATATCTACTCGCGCGCGGAAGACAATTGGATCTATGTCAGCCTAGTAATACAGGAAGTCAAGAATGCTTGGAGTTCCGGTCATACTCAACACGCAGAGATTCGGAAACTGCTAGAGTCTTTTCCATATGGTTTGACGGATATGTTCGAGCACGTGCGAAAGCGCGTTCTGAACCCGCAAGCTGAGGGTTACGAATACACGAAAGAGATCTTGCGTTGCAGGGTTTTGGCGTACGTGGCGCCGACGATGCGTGAGCTGGCTGTCATGGCTGGCCTGCCTTCGGAAGATCGGGATGATCTAGAAGAACTCAAAGCTTACATAAGACGCTGTGGTGCTTTCTTTACGTTGAGAGGCAACGACTGGGATCTAGACAACAGCACCGTAGAGTGGATCGACATCTCTGCACAAGAGCATCTCCGAAAGTATGCAAAGAACGACCTGTCTCTGGACCTCGACGATGTGCAGCACGGTATTATCGCCTTACGATCATTGGAGTATATTCATCAA